GTTACTGGTGTTTTTTCCGAACCTACTCATACAATATAGACCTCTTTTGATCACAAAATTGTGAAGCATCAGGCTTTTTTGGAAATTATGCCCTTGGTCTTTGCCAGGTTTGTTCCATTACTATTGTTGCAAAAAAGACCTTTCCCTGTGATTTCAAAGGTTCTGCTGACAGTAGTAGTGAGAGGTTTATGTCCCATTTGCCTATGTTTGGATCAGGATTTCTTCATCTGTCTCTGAGGAGCCTGAAGATGTGGCTCCTGCATATATGCTGGTGGAGTGGCATTGAATCTGCCTGTCCAGCCCCCTCATGGCAGGGCTGCTGGATGGTTTTTGTCAGAACTTCTTCTTCCTTGGCTGGGAGGTGAGGGAGGTTCTTATCAATCATAGAGAGGCTTCACCAGAGATACTTCCCTGCTTAAATGACTTCTTCCTCCCACCAGTCAGCCTCTCCTGCTGCTTCCACTCATTCTGGACCACTTGTGAGGTCTGGAGGAATTAATTTGCTTGATCACTGTCCATCTAGCAATGACTTCTGTCTGTTGCCTTCCAGTGGGTGGCACTTATCACAGCAGTATTCTGCAAAGGATTGATGTGACCTTTATGGGTGGAAACTAACCCCGTTCATCACTGGTACCTGACTTTTCTTGTACTACGGCCTTTCTGTGACCAATATTTTGAGTCACTAGTATCCAGCATGTTGCTGCATGTCTTTGTGAAGGTTTTTCGTATGAAAAATGCTGTTAGAAGTGAGGGAACATTACAGGCTCCAGTGGCTGATTTCTCCTCCTTTTAAATGGTGCTCTTTAGAGAAGGCATATTGTACGTCCCAAATACCTCTTCAGAATTCACACTCAACCAGATTTATCAGTGCCTTTCTGTCTCTCTTTGTGGCATCTAGAGCCTTGCATATCAGGGATTGAATTTATACTTCATGCCCCTGGAATGAAGAAACTCTCTGTTTATATTCATGGGGCCAGATCTTTCGAATGATCCTTGAGCCAGTGTCAGTGGATGTTTTCTCTGACTTCCCAGCTGGCTCTGTGTGAAGGCTACGGAGCGGTGCTGGAAGGAGCAGCTGCCCATGCTCGGCTGTGTTCCAGGAGCACCGAGCTGTGGCAGCCCTTTGTCACCAGGAGCTCAGCGTGCCCAGGGCTTTGCTGGGAAATGCATCTACGTCTGACACTGGTCAGGCAGCTATCTGGGTTTCCATCTTTATCTCCCTCTAGCATTGCACTGTTGCAGAGACATCTGGCACCAAAGAAGAGCTTTGTTAAGCAGTCCTCAAACTGCTGCTTGAGTGGAAGATTTCTAACACATCCAGGCATCTGTGTGCTCACTCTCTGTGAGTGTGCATGTGGACTTCTCTTTCAGTGGGAGAAGAAAGGTTACCTTCAAGTAAGTAAACTGAAGTTTTTTTTAAATGAGCATTCCACAGGTACCTGCAGTTCTTATTCCTTCTCTCTTTCTCAGGGTCCCTCCACTATATCCCATTATGCTTACTGTTGGTGGTTGAAAGAGAACACTAGGTATGCTCTGACCCATGTTTTCATTACTGTAGTGTGGTGCCTGTCCATTGTGGACACTGAGGCTCAAAAAGATGAAAGAGAGTCTGGCCAAGAGTTGTAGAATGTATGTACGCTTATGGTATCAAACGTGCCTGTGGACCACACACGTTGAACAGTTGGTATCTCTTCAGTGACTTCATCTCGCCTGTCTTTCCTGCATGCTGAAGGAGCTTCTGGAGGACAGTCCAGCCTGGGCACTGTTGGGGAAAAGAAGTGACTGGATAGTGTTTGAAACTGGCTTAATCCAGTCTGGTTGGGCTGTCACTGAAAAGAATCATCCTCCCTCAGTCTTTTCCTGCCTCACCTCCCCCCTTTCCATCACATGTTCCTTCCTCCTCCTGGTATCTGCTCATGTGCTTTGGTGGCTTTGCCATTAGCTGGAATAGCTCATTGATTTTGTTAAAAGCTAACCCTGAAGACAGAAATTAGAGTGCTCTAGACGGCAGAATGGGAAAGAATATGCAGTGTCAGAATGGGCAGGATTGCAGCACAGTTATTGCTTGCACCTTTTTAAATACGTATTACTGTAAGATACTTTTCCTTGTTGAAGATTACTAGGTATTGCCGTGAAACCTGCACACCTGCAGGTTTGTATTTCTTGGGATGTAATTCTGCTTTGCAAGTGAAATTAAGTGAATGAGGACTTCAGCAAACAAGCGAGAACTTCTGTGAATTGTCCAAGGGTGAAAGAGAACACTGCAAAACCTTAAAGTAAGCTTTTCACACGGATGAACAAACAAGTAAACTTCTCTGGAAACTGTAGAAATTCAAGTGATCTAGTGCATCTCCTCACCCACAAATTCTCCCTTCAGTGTGCAGCTACATATGTTTGATTTATTTTTGATTGACATAACAATACAAGAGCCAAATGAATTAAAAACGAAGCTACATTCTGAACTTTGGTGTTTCATCACATGCCAGGAATCCAAAGTGCTTTGCCATGTTGTTCGAGAGAGTGTTCTATCACCAGCAGTAATAATAATTTCTGAGTAATTAAATTAAACTATCTCTGTGCATCTAAATAAACAAATAGATTGTGGTTCTGTAGAATGTGCGTGTGTGCCAAGTGTGAGGCTTGGCTAGTTGTTGAAATCGTGCTGCTTTTAATGTAGAAGCATTCGGCTTCATTTAGTATCAGTTCCCAGTGTTTGCACCGACTTTAAGACTGGCCTGCAAGAGACTCTAATACCTTGGTAGGGTTTTTTCCTCCAGTGTCTTTTAGAAGCTTTCATGTAGATACAGTTCTTGATTTACCTAGTATTTTTGACTGTTTCATAGTCAGAGGTATTAGAAGATAATTGTTATTAGGTTGGCATTTATTGTCTTCAGCCTGCTTTGTCAGCTGATTAACATACACGCTGCTGACCAGTAAGAAGTGTCATAAAATTCTGCATGTAAGAAATGCATAGTTCGGAAATGATGAATAGTCTTTCTCACGAGCTCTCTTAAAACTTTCTTTTTTTTAATAAACTGTTGGTGTGTTTCCAAATGAAGTTGATTTTTTTTTTTGTGACTTGGTTTTTAAAGTGGATGAAAATGCAAATTGTGCAGTATGTCTAGAGGGGAGAGGTAAATGCTCAGTTACTTTGAAGGCTGAGAATTTTTGTGGTTGGGAGAATTTGTTTATGCGTGCCAGATGACTTGGGGTTGACAGAGGACCACAACTGCTGCTAGTCAGGCAAAACAATTCAAGTGTGAATATTCTAAGTCCTTGCCGTTAGGCATAGAAAACTAGTCCACGTTCAGACTTAGCAGCAGCTTGCACATAAGCAGACCTTAACACAGTGCCACGAGTGTTTGGAGTGGCACTGTGCTGTTACAGCGTTCCCTGAGAAGATGACAGCGGTGAGGAGGAGTAGTGGTGGCTACCCTCTCTCTTCATCAGCCAGTCTGAAAGGACTTGCCAGAAAGGATCGGTTCTCCTACTCCTGCTTCTCAGATGCGAAGGTTGAGCTGTAATGGCTTGGACAGAAATGGCTTATGTACATCCCATGGAGGACTTTCTGGTGGAACCCTTTATCCTGCCAGAAGATACCAGTTCATGGGAAACAGAACATTTGCAGAGGCATGTTGCATGTGATGAAAATTTGGTTCATATAAAAGTGGTTTTGAGAACACTTCAGTTTTATATTTCAAAATTACTTTATTTCAGTTTCAGTATGAAATGTAATAAAGACTGGGGAATACAAAACAGGGACAAAATATTTTCTTTTCTTTTTTTGTAGAATTTATTTAATAAACCTGAAATGTTTTAGGGCCCAGTTTCTTTGGTTTGGATTTCTTGAGGGTTGGGTTAATTTTTTTTTGAAGTTTCTCATAAACTGAAACTAAAATATTTTTATTTATTTTCCAAAGGAAAAGCATTCACAATTGTGAAATGGGCCTTCAAATAAACAAATAACTAGTACAGCTCTGCCATCAGGTTCCAGTATCACGTTCACGGTTCCTCCCCTGCTTCTTCTTTGCTGTGGGAAAACAATAATTTATATCAGCTGTTTTTCTCGGGATGCTGTATTTTTCCCAGCACAACTTGTGAATCAAAATGGGTGGAATTTGGGCTTTGCTGCCCCTGTCCTCTGGCACCCTGTCTTTCCCCACTAACTGCTTGTAGCATTCGGCAGATAGGTAACAACTGTTCTCCCCTCAGTGACCCGAGTGCGAATCTGAGCGGGGCTAGGTGAGAAAGAGAAAATCTTACATAATCTTACAGTACAGACTCAGGTCGGTCTGTGTAGCTGTTGCCCTGTGCAGACTGCAAAGGGACCTGGAAGTAATGAAAGGTTCAGGCAGGCTGGTATCTGTTCATGTTGCTGTAAAACAAGAAAGCCTTCTGTATCCTGGTTGCCCACTGATAAAATGGATGATCAGTTTTGCAATAATTATTTTTTTAGGCAGTGCATCTGTCTTACTCCCTCTTTCTCCACATTCTTGTCTAAATGTGAATCATCATCATTTAGATGCTTTGTACCTAACAGATACTCTTCTAACTTTGGTCCCTGAAAACTGTTGCTTAGAGAAAGGTCAAGGAGGGCAAACACAGCTTTGCTTTTAACACAGTGTGATTATTCTGCTTTTAAATAAATTTATTTTATGCAGTATCTAATAAAAAAAAGACAAAAGTGAATGAGTTGCAAGGTTAAAAAGTTCAAACGTGGTGGGAGAGGGCTTCTAGTAACGACTTTGTGATTTCATTGGTGTTTGGAAGAAGTGCAGGTAGGCTTTTGTCTCCATGGTTAATAGTATTCATAAAGAAAAGAAAAATGACCAGAAAACCTTAGCATAAGTCCTTTGGTGGGGCTATGTATTCTACTCATGTGGATTTTTCTCAGTCAGACAGATCTGCAGAGAGCAGAGGGATGCACATCAGAGTGCCAGAATTTCTTTTTCCTCATCCAGACATTGTGTTTTTATTTTTTATTTTAATTTACTTTCCAGATAAATCTGGTGTCTTAATTGTGAAGATCTTAGAAATTTTTGAGGAGTGTACAATACAAGTTGCCATCTGCCAGCAGCTGGAACAGTCTCCTGCTACGCTTTCATCCGAGGATGCTGTCATCAGTGCCGGAGAACCGATACTCAAAGTCCTCTTTGCGAGAGAGACAGCAGCTCACCTGAAGGGCAGGCCACAGGATGTCATCCACATCTACCCTCCGTGGTGAGTAGGGAGAGCTGGCCACGCTTGCTGTAGCACTGCAGAACAAAGTGGGGTGGGTAGAATGCTGGGTGCACTGTTGCAGGAAAGACCTCAGAGGATAAGGGGGAGAAGGGCTCTCTTGTGGTCGTTTGTCTCTGGCAGCTGGAGAGACTTTGACAGATACCTTAAAGATAGCTCAGATAACAAGTGAATGTGTATCATAATGCCTCTAGTGTTGCTCAGGGCTTCAGTTTTGTTTTCACTTAATATTTTCACGTTTAGAGCGATAGAAAGGCCTGAGCAATATCTTATCAATGGTAAGGCCAATAAAGTGCATACTTTCTGGTAGCAAAGTAGTTCAGGAATGCTCATCTGTTGCTGTGAGTATGGGTGTAATACAGTTTCAGTGGAAAAGTCTCTATTAACTATATAGCATTCAGCAAAAACAACATGCAGCTAAAAAATGGGGGAAAAAACCAAAGAGATTAGTTTCACGCTATTCTCAAGGAATCGGTAGACGTTTTTTGGTAGTTCTACATTGCTGCTGCTGTCACTGTCTTCAGTTCTCCAAATCCCTCTTCAGCACAACCCTTTCTGGAATTCTTCAAAATGTTTGGTCTACATTTGTGATTTTTTCTGAATTGGATTACTTTCCTGATTTTAAGGGGCAGCATGAAGTGATGAGATTTCTAGTAAAGCAGCTGGTTGTTGGTGGCTGTAGGTTGGAAAGTCTACTCTTCATAAAAATTTAAGAGAACTTTGAAGTGGGAATGTTGCTCCTCTTTTTACTCTTCTCCACCCAAATTATAAAAGAGGAAATATTTTTCTTCTTAAGTATTTCAGCATTCATTACCTGAGTTTTAGCCTCCAGGTGCAGTAGAATCCTGCATCTAGTGTTTAACCATATCCTTTGGCAGAACACTTTAATAGCTTTTGGCTTTTTATTTTAGTAGGATGCACTTTTCATGTAAGCAAAAGGTTATTTCATAAAACCAGAATGTTTGGGCAGGGAATATGTCACCGTTGTCAGAGATGCTGTCCTTACCTACATGGCTCTCAAGGCACTTTATAAAGACATTAGTCAATAGAGGCAAAACTGCATTATATCTCATCTCTAGTCCTATTTTCTGTTGTTTTGGCATTATCTTAATGTCAGTTGTCTCTTTGTTTACTCAACCAGAAGTCAAAGGAGTTGGCCTGGATACTGTCAAACTAAACCTACTGGAGGAAAGGCGGGGCGGGGGGGATGAGGGATGGTTTTGTTTTAGATTGCTATTTGGCACTTTCAGTTTACATTAATTGGAAATTGGACTTGTACACTTAATGGAAGTTTCCTCTATCACATTTCCAAGCTTCTATTCTGTTAAACTTTTACTTGAGAGCTCTGAATGCTGAAATGTGGTTTCTGTCACTCTGCATTGCGTTTGTACTTCTGTCGTTAAAAACAAATACTGTTTATATTCAAATACTTTCCTGTCGATTCAAATGTGTGACTAGTGTAAAAACGAATTAACTATATCTAACCCTGACATGGTGAAATAAGCATATTTACGTAAGCATAGTTGCGTATCTTATTGATACCACCAGTCAGAAGCAAAAGGGAACAAAAAAAGCAGCAGATGCAAGGGGAGACAATCCTTGAATGATGTGTGTGTACTTGGGACACACAGCACACTGTGCGTCATCCTCCTGTGTTAGGAGATGCTTGCATGGTAAGGTAGAATGGGATGAGATCGGGTGGTTTACCAGTGGTCTGCTTCTGCTGCTGTAAAGTAACGTCCTGAGAGGAGAATTTCCTGGTGTCTTCGAAGTAACACCCCAGAATCATGTTCTGACTTTGCCTGGGCAGAAGGCAAAAAGCAGCTGAGTGAGTATGTGAGATGCAGACACATAGGCTGCTGACTTCTGTATGTGACTATTCGTGAGCAAAATTTGAATACATCATTTTGATGCCTTTGTAAAATTAGACTTTGCTTTTGTAACTGTATTTGTATGTGTTGTCAACTCAGTGCATGGCTTGGTACGTGAAACATCTCTGGCAGTAGACTTCCGTGAATACTTTGGGAAGCAGTGTTTAGAGATTTGTTGATATATTTGTTGGTATTTGTTTGCATACAGAATCCCATGACACTTCAGCACTAGAATACAAGCAATTTAATTTAAAAAATAAAATATTGACAGGAGGTCGGTTGTAAGAATCTTATCAACCTAGATATTGCTCATGAGAGTGGTTGCATTGACTTTCAGAGAAGCTTTGTGTCAGAGTAAGAATTCGCAGTACTGAGCTCTGATTTCTTTATAACTGGATATGGATTTCTGTGGGTCTGGTGTCTTAAAGTACATATTTACACTCTTGAAAGAAAGGGATTTCATGTGAGAATTGTCACTTGCTATAGGGAAAGCAACCTCGCTAGGCTGATGAACACTTTCGAACTAGCATGTCTGGTGGAGGACAGCGCTCAGCTGCCGGGCCTCTGAGCCACCTGATGGGAGCCTGCTCTGATCTCGAGGCTATATAGAAGTATTATTGCAGCACTGTAGCTAAGCAAAGCCTGTTAACTTGGACACATCATATGAAAACGGTTGCATGTTTTGGGCTGGAGCTGGTTTGTGTCTGACCAGCTGTGAACACAACAGGCAAAAGAACTCAGCCCTGCCTGCCCCTGCCTGCATAGGCTTGCCTTTCGTTGTCTTTGCAGTACCTGAGCAATTGCTTGGATTAAGATTTTAAATGAACACCTCATAATTTTTACAAACCGAATCTGAATCATTAAGTGTTTTTAACAGCCGGAAAAGGAAAAGCTTATTACTAAGTGTAATTAAATCGATTACTAAGTCTTTATTCACTTCACAGAAATACATACCCAGCAAAAAGTGAAGACTGCTTGATACTCAACGACATGAGGGAATGGGAACAAAGGCTTCCCGGTTTCACTGGTGGTGATTTTATGGCTTCAGCTTACCTGGGGATTTTTTGTTTGTTTAATTATAAAAGTGATAGAAATAATTTACCATCCCTAACAAGAAGTGGTAGGAGTTGATATTTTTAGTGACTTCAGGATTAATTTTTCTGCTGACAGCAGGGCTTGAGGATAGACAGTTCCCTTCATGTATTGCTGCCTCCCACTCATAGATACGCCTACTGTTGAATATTCAGGATAAATTAACCTGAAGAAAATGATGCGGATAAGAATTCTTATCCTTGCCATTAAATTTAACAACTGTGAAATGTTTTCCGTCTGTTTCTGAAGTTCAGGTACCAGAAGTATGTTGATATTAATACAGTTGTTGACAACAGCAATATAAGCCACAGATCACGTTTGATTTGGACAGGCTCAGAGATCAATCCGTAACTATCGAATCTGATGGTCTGGTATGAAGCCTCTGGTTCAGGAGGTTCACGTGCTGCTGATAACTGTGGAGGGCTGCGATGGTCCGAAGGGGACAGAACCACTTTGTGTTCTGTTCTTACACTGCCTGTGAACACTGGCTGTTACGCACAGCAGAAGACAGGTCGCTTGGCTGGACAGCCACTGTTCCCTATGCAACTTCTCTGTGCTTAAAGAAAAAAAAAAAAAGAGAGAGTGAGTTTATTTTAGGAACTCAGTATGGTAAGTATATAAAACACTTAACTCTGTGACATCAACAAGCAACTTCAAAGTTGTTCTTTAGTTTCTCTTAACCTACGAAACCACAGGGAATCATAATTACTCAGCTTTGAAAGTGTTCCAGTGCCTGGTGAAAGTGTTAAATGTGGACTTCTCATTTCTACTTGCGTTACACTAGATTCAGTCTCTCCTCGATGGAAGGGGTTTAGAAGAGTTTGAATTATTTACTGCCAAGAAGAGCTCACACAAAACATTGCTGCAGATCAGCCGATGTGCAGTGATGAAACCTTGTATCCCAAGTCGTTTAAGGTGGGCCAGAAGTTGCTGTAGAAATACACAGGCAAGCTCTGAACAAGTCTGTGTACGGGAAGCAATCTAGCTTTGTAGACTTACGTATTCTTCTGCTTCAGAATTATCCTGGATATGCCGTAGGCTGTTTTGTTGGCTCAACAACAGGGCTTATGATAAACGGATATGTTACTGTGATTTTTGCATTGTCTTACTTAATACACTGTCTTACATTGCATGGTCTTACATAATCTTGGTGAGCAATGAGAGTACCAACACAGGGAGCTAAAATGAAGTCGGTATTTTGAACTAGTGTGACTGCTGTTAAAGAGGGTTTGCCTTCTGTTTGATGAAGATAGAGACTTTTTATCACTGTTGCTCTCACCAGTCAAGGAAAGTATTTAAGAACATTGTTACAGAATACTTCCCTATCACAAGAAAGATGATGTGAAAGTAGGATCTTGGGCTTTATCTATTAATGAAATGCAGAAACGACCTACTGCTGCTCTGTAAGAAGGAAAGCATCTACATCCTTTACAATTTTCTCATTCCATAGAAGTAAAATACAAATACGAATTAAAGACATGTATGGAATGTCTTTTGCGTAAAGTCAGTTTCTCTATGAACTCCACAGAGAGGCAGTTTCTTTGAATGCTTGATTGATCGGTTGGACAGAACTGATCTATGTTCACCATCTTCCTTTGATGAAATCTAAGCATTTATAGAAATATATATAAACATAAAAATATTCAAACGGATTAAAAAGAGGGGGGAAAAAAAGATCACCAGTCAGATCCCTCCCATCGGAAAGATGTTAGCTCTGCCTTTACATACTTTCTTTGAAGATGTCACAATAGCAGAGTGGGAGAACCCTGATAAGAGGGATGAGGCTCACTCCGAAGATAAAATTCTAGAAAACTTCAGAGCTGTAAAGCCAGTGTGGGCACTATTTCTAAAGTACATATGGGAATGGCCTTGGAGCCAAAGATCAGATCATATCATCTGCTTGGAATTGCTTCTCAAAGATCATGCCATTGTGAAAACTGAAGCTCCTTTCAGAAGAACCTGAAACAGCTGCAAGTTGCTTGCAAGTGTTTATATATATTTTTTTTTGTTAGGATATAC